AGGTTCCCGCAGCATTATTTTCTGGTGGGTCTGATCCTCCTCTTGGTCTTGCCATTTGGTCTCACCCACGTTGTTGGCTCCAGGCTGTGGATCCCGGCAGATTCTAAAGTATGAGATTTCTTACTTCCTCTACAAATTCCACTAGCTATAAGCCTTCAAAAATTTTAAATATTCCTACCTATGTGATTCAAGAGTTTTGGAGCTCTTCCCTGAACCCGCTTCACCTGGTATTCTGTGGTATTGCTGATGGAGAACTTCATTGCACCTCTACCCTAGCCGCCATCAAGCCCCGCCCTCCAACAGTTCAATTCTTGATAGTGTTCTGGGTTTACACTACAGCTCCCAGTGTAGTGTGCAGGACCATATGACCATGTGCTCATTCACCCACTAACCCACTCACTCACTCAATTTACTGCTTACTGTGTACCTGAGACAGTGTTAGATCTGTGGGTGCAAAGATTCAAAACAGCTTTCCCTCCCTTTTAGAAGCCCATAAAGTGGTAAACAAGCAAGAAGAACACATGGGGACCCCAAGCAAGGGCAAAGTAACACCTAGAGGTCTTAGAGAAGGCTTCTAAAGTGTCCAGTACTGTTCCCATCAACCTCAGGTTAAAACTCAACTCCTGTTTGGCATACTCAGATCCTGCAAGACCTGCAACTGTCAGCCAGATGTATTCTGTCAAGATACATATTAAAAATTATGATATTTGGGGAACTCATTGATCCCCCATGGTTAACTACTGTAGGATAAGCACTGGACTATTAACTGCAAGGTCAGCAGTTCAAACCTGCGAGCCACTTCTGGAAATCCTATACCAGGTTGTTATGAGTCAGAACCGACTCAACGGCACACAGTAACAACTGAAGGAAAGTGACCATCTAAGGAGACTGGTCAAGCCACTCTGAGGTACCATCTGCTGCCCTTTGAGATATCAAGACACATTAGTTGGTACACTGCTCTGCTTTGAAAAATGCCAGACCACTAAAGGTTCTTTGAGGAGTCTTGTTCACTTGTCTTTGCACACACTGATCCCTTTCTTTGAAGCATTGTTCTCCCTCCATAATTTAGCAGTTAAGATGTAGCTCAAAGGCCATTAAATGCCTCCATCCTGATATGTTGTTGGTGACCCTCTTTTGTGTCCTATTGATATCATGATGCATTTCTCTATAGTCTGTCTGCTTTTTTGCCCTAACTAATGTCTATGAATACCTTGTATTTTAATGCTTATTCTACAGCATTACACCAGGGCCCCATTCTAGTGCTTGCTTTTCAGTTCTTGTCTTCACATCATCCCATTGAGGTGGGGAAGAGTTACTAGCTCATTTATTTATGGGAAACTGAGGCCCTGGGTGTAGTTAGCCATTGCCAGTACTGGAGTCATATAGAATCATGTAGCATGATAAGTTGAAATAGTAGTAGTACTTTATATAAGAAGACTCTCTGGGCTTGTTTTCTTATATTTATTATCCTAGTGCCTGGCATTCAACTTGATGCATACTAATATTTAACAAATAAAACTGGGGGGAGAGGCTTCTAAAGTTCATGGGAAAATGGAGTTGGAAAAATAATGAATTTTCCCCCACAAACTTTTAAAAAAATCCATCATTTTGAAAACAAATGAATACATTTGGGACATTTGAGTTTGATCTTGAAAGACTATTAATTTACCTAGCAGAGAAACTATCTGATTCTGACTACTAATACATAGAATAATTATTCCACTAAGCTTTGGACTTTCCATTCTCTGATTCACAGGGTCTGGAAAAGAAATTCTTCATGTGGCCTTGAAAGATAGATAGGGAGGGGATGTGGAGACTCTCACAGCTGACATATATTGCATTAGTTTCCCTATGTGTTTAGACAGACTGCGGAATGCTCAGCAAAGCATCATGAACTATTTCATATTTTGTTGAGGTTGTAGCTGTGGTTTGTTATATGACTTGTCTTCTTCTCCTTAGCTATGGGGTGCTACTTTGGGAGCTACTGACTGGTGAGGTGCCCTTCCGAGGAATTGATGGCTTAGCAGTAGCTTATGGAGTGGCCATGAACAAACTTGCCCTTCCTATTCCTTCTACATGCCCAGAACCTTTTGCCAAACTCATGGAAGGTAAGTAATTCCTGGCCTGAGCAAAACTGGCATAGCATTTGGTAAATTTTGACCAATTCCAAAAGGATTTAATTACTGAAAGAGGAGGTAAATTATTAGTCACCCAGGGAGAAACTATGGACAACATTGAGAAGTATAAGTATTCCAGAACACTTAATTGCACTTCTGAGAAATCTGTACTTGGACCAAGAGGCAGTTGTTTGAACAGAGCATGGGAACACTGAATGTTTTAAAATTGGGAAAGGTGTGCGACAGGGTTGTGTTCTTTCACCATACTTGTTTAATATGTATGCTGAGCAAATAATACGAGAAGCTGGGTTCTATGAAGAAAAACGTGGCGTCAAGATTTGTGGAAGACTCATTAACAACCTGCGATATGCTGATGATACAACCTTGCTTGCTGAAAGTGAAGAGGACTTGAAACATATACTTATGAAGATCACAGAGCACAGCCTTCAATATGGATTACATCTCAATGTTAAGAAAACAAAAATCCTCACCACTGGACCAATAAACAGCATTCTTATCAATGGAGAAGAGATTGAAGTTGTCAAGGACTTCATTCTTCTTGGATCAACTGTCAACACTCGTGGAAGCATCAGTCAAGAGATCAGATGACGTATTGCATTGGGCAAATCTGCTGCACAGGAACTTTTTAAAGTACTGAAGAGCAGAGATGTCAGCTTGAGGACTAAGGTGCGCCTGACCCAAGCCATGGTATTTTCAATAACCTCATATGGATGCAAAAGCTCGACAGTGAATAAGGAAGATTGTAGAAGAATTGATGCCTTTGAGTTGTGGTGTTAGAAGAGAATACTGAAAGTGCCGTGGACTACCAAAAGAACCAATAGGTCTGTTTTGGAAGAAGTACAACCAGAGTGCTCCTTGGAGGCCAAGATGGCTAAGCTTTGTCTCTACTACTTTGGACACATTGTCCGGAGAGAACAGTTGCTGGAGAAGGATGTCATGCTGGGTAAGGTGGAGGGTCAGAGAAAAAGAGGAAGACCCCCAACGAGATGGATCAGCCAGATGGCATCATTAATGGCGTCAAGTGTGGCAGCGGTAGTGATGTTGGCCCAGGACCGGACATTGTTTCGTTCTGCTGTGCATGGGGTCGCTATGAGTCGGTTTCGACTCGATGGCACCTGACAACAACAAGGGAGAAGACACCTTTGGGCAATTAGAAGGACTACTTCAAAATGCTGTCCACATCCTGCTACTTTGCTGTCACAGATGTTTCTTCTGTGAATCTTTGGTTACTGTAGAATTGAGCTCAGTAACTAATGCATGATGTGTAGTACTTCAATATATTCTTATATAATAAAAAACTAAGGTCTAACAAATGTCTATATCAGACCCCTCAATTCCTGGTGTAGCACTGTACAATAAGCACTGGACTGTGAACCACAAGTTCACCTCCATCAGCTGCTCCTCAGAAACAGGGTTTCTTGAGTCAGAATCAACTTTCTAGCACTTAACAACAACAGTGATAACAGACCTCTAAGTATGTTACATAGAGAAATGAAAAACATCTGTAAAGAAAGGAAACCTAAAAAGTTATCTAGTCAAACACCATCATTTTGTAAGTGAGAAGTCCAATGCCAAGAGAAGTTAAGTGATTAGGTCACTAGTCAGTGACCAAACTGGAGTTAAATAGAATTCATTTTTTCTGACTCTCACTCTATTGTTGTTGTTGTTGTTAAGTGCCGCTGAGTCAGTTCCAATCTTAGTGACCCTCTTTTGGGTTTCCAAGGAGCAGTTGGTGTGTTTGAACTGCCAACCTTGTGGTTAGCAGTCCAGTGCTTATTCTACAGCATCACACCAGGCCCCATTCTAGTGCTTGCTTTTTAATTCTTGTTTTCACATCATCCCATTGAGGTGGGGAAGAGTTACTAGCTCATTTATTTATGGGAAATTGAGGCCCAGGGCATAGTTATCCATCGCCAGCACTGGAGTCATAGAGAAGAATTGTTTAGTAACATGATAAATTGAAATAGTAGGAAAACTCTCTGGGCTTGTTTTCTTATATTTATTAGCAGTCATGATTGGATGGATGCTAGTACTGCTGCATTTTATTTCCCATTTCAATCTTGACATATGGTCATAACGCTGGCTGCTTGCTTTACTTCCTGAATGCTGTTTGGAATCCTCTAGATTCTAATCTATGTTTCTGGAAGGAGAAATGAAAGCATTTTCTGGTAAATGACATCACTGAATATCCTAGTTCTTACATTTGCCTCTGTCCATTCGTACTGTTTGTCTACTCACATGTTCCATTCAGACTGCTGGAATCCTGACCCCCATTCACGACCTTCTTTCACAAATATCCTGGACCAGCTAACTACCATAGAGGAGTCAGGATTCTTTGAAATGCCCAAGGACTCCTTCCACTGCCTGCAGGATGACTGGAAACATGAGATTCAGGAGATGTTTGACCAACTCAGGGCCAAAGAAAAGGTAAGACAAAAAAAAAAAGGTATGGGGTGTGCATTTAATCATTGGACTCCCTCCTCTGGGACCTCTGGACTGCATCTTTCTGACCTCCTTGATTCTAATACTGTTGCCTTCCAGCATGGGTTGATATAAAAGGGCAGTTCCTTGCAGGCTTTCTGTGGAGAGTTCTCTAGGACTCAGGGGTGACCTGGAATGATACAGACCTTTTTTTTTTGGGGGGGGGGGAGATATGGAAGGAATAAGAAGGGCATGGAAAGCCCAACTTTCCCCTACAGACTATCCATCTCATTGTTCAAACCTGAAAAAGAGCCCCATTTGCATTTCCCCAGAGGGCATTGCACCCTGACAGATAAAAATTTGAGAGGGTCCAAGAAAGGTTTCATGGTTTTTCAGTGGACTGCTAGAGGGAAGTTAACTGAATATAGGATCAATTCAACATTGAGGAGAATAGCTGTTATGACAGCTTGCCCATGTCTTGTGGTATCAATATCAGAAACAGATTATGGGCTGGAAATAACATGGTTCTGAAGTCGTTTGGCATTTCTCATGTTTTTAAAAGGGCTCCAATCCCAAACCCACTGGAGAGTTCAGAGGCCCCTTGTTGTTGTTGTTGTTAAGCGCTATTGAGTCAATTCCGACCCATGGTGACCCTGTAGGGTTTCCAAGGAGCATCTGGTGAGCTTGAACCACTGACTTTGCAGTTCAAACTGACTTTGCAGTCTAGTATATTTGTCCAAAGTACCACAACAGGACTCCCCTAGCCTACCAGAAATCGGCCTTTTTGTTTTAGTAGTCATTCCCTAAATGACCATTATTTGCTCCCTTGGTGTCTGGCTAGCATCAGTGTCTACTCAGGTAAAGCTAATCACAAGCAGCTAGGGACATGAGAATATCGTCACAGACTTGGTTGACTTCTTCTTTCTCTTCTCCCCACATGGTATTTGGTGTTATTGTTTTTAAGTGCCGTCAACTCAGTTCTGACTCATAGCAATCCTGTGTAGGGTTTCTAAGGAGCAGCTGGTGAGTTTAGACAGCTGATTTTATGGTTCAAACTGACCTTGTGATCCAGTGCTTTATCCCACAGTGTCACACCAGGACTCCAAATAATAGAAGCTAAAATTGTTTATGACTTTTTGGGTTGTTTATGGTTTATGATTTTTACTTCGAAGGTCTCATCTGAGCATAATGGCCTCTGCTGCCAGTATTGAGAGGGCGAGGAGACGTAGCAGGGGTGGTGGTGGTGATGGTTTGTCATGGAGTTGATTCTGACTCACAGTGACCCTGTACAGGGTTTCTGAGGCTGTAAATCTTTACGGGAGCAGAAAGCCTCATCTTTCTCCTCTGGAACAGCTGGTAGTTTAGTATGTAGGGTAGTTCTTTCCATCTCAGAGCTGTGACTTGTCTAAAGTCACAACTAGTTTTCAACCGTGGCCTTATGATTCCAAAGCCTGTGTTCTTTCTAATATGCATTGCTGTTCCCCTAAACATATGAGTAAATAATCATTTCTGTAGCTGATTTAGGAAGATTAAGTTCTTGGGCAATATAGCAATCCTAAACACAGTTCTGTATGGTAAGTCACAGAGTTGAGCTTACGATGAATGGGTGGGTGAGTCGACCTACACTGACCATTGAACAGAATGATTAAGAGACTCTTCCTGGCACTAATGCTAGTCTAGCTAGAAGAAACTTCACAGTTGCTGTTCTTTTCTCTTAGTTACCTTTCTTTTGATTGATGAAAATTTAGGGGTTCCAGCCAGGAAGAAAAAAAGGGAGTTGGATTTTGCCAGTAAGTAGTTACTAGAAGAAAATCAAACTAATTCTCTGAAGAGGTAGTATTCATAGAGCACATAGTGTATGACATATTCTATTATATGTAATTCATGTAAATTATCTTATATAGTCCTGTAAGATAATAATTGTCCTATATAATACAACCCTATAATGTTGGTTAATATTATGTCTGTTGCTCAAGGCCACACAGTTAATGATGACAGGGTATTAGTACCAAAGCCCTTGTTCTTAACCACCATGCTGTTATACCTCTCCACTATACAGCATGTAGCTTGGCAAAGGGTAAGTTGTATAATGCATTTTCTCTACACAGGAATTCCTCTTGAATCATTCTGTATTTGGAGATGTGATTTGCATACTTTAGTTTCCTCCTACATAGGTGTTTTATAAGTAGGAGGAGTGCCATGTTTTACCTGTAGGTATATGATATCATAGGGAGTGTTCCAAAAGTATGATTTAGCATAAGATTCAGCTATTTCTTCAGGTTGGCTCAACCTACTCCTTCTAGGTATTTTAAGAGCTGATTAGTCTCTAGGCTGGGTTTCAAGCTCTCTTGAAGGATGGAGCTTATTCATAATCACCATCCCTTAGATGAGAGCATGTGTAAGAGGAGGACTTGGGAAGCTTGACATCAGTTTAAACAATTCCACTTTTCCATTGAGCTGTAAAATCAACTAGTCAGGAACAATTTTTCAGTATCTTCCCATTTTTTTTTTTCTCTTAATGATGAAAAAAAATAGTGGGACAGGAGAGCCAAGAATTGGGAGAGGATTTGGAGAATGCTTAACAATGAATCTTCAAAACAGGAAAAACTGCAAAGTTAGGTTAGACTGTCAGGAATTTGTGATAATCTCTGTTCCCATAAGGTTTGTTTTGATAATACTGTTTTTTAAAAAAGCTTTAATTATGAACTGAGTGGGAGAACATCACTTTCCTACTCAACCAGTCATTGCAATGATGACAGTCCCCTCCACGCACCATCAGTTAACAGTGAGTTAACAGTGTTTGCCTCTATTCCCTCTTTTTTTTTTTTTTTTAAACGTACACAAAATGCACATGAATATATAATTGTTTAAACAACCAAATGGCACATTTTGAAATCCAGCCTCCTGCCTGCCATCATACAGCCTTTCTCTTTCCATGAGTCTAGAGTCTTCAGCTTCTTTCTCTCTCCATGCCATCACCTCTGCCTCTGGTGTCATTGCTTCTCTGATTAGGATCCCAAGTTCCACTCATGCTCTTCCTCTTGATGATTCTAGGATCCTCTGTTCCTGGAATGTAAGATTAACTACTCCCCACTTTTCTTTGATCCTTGTCGTCTTCTTTTTTTTTTAAGTTTTTATTATGAATTGAGTGATAGTTTACATGGGAGGGCACCAGCTTTACATTCACCCAATCGTATTTCGTTTCATTGTAATAATTATAATATAATCCACTCCATGCATCATCATTCAACAGCATTTGCTTCCAATCCCTCTCTGGTTTTTTTTTTTTTTTTGCATGTATACTGAAGCACTCAGGAATATATACCCATTCAGACAACCAAAGGATATACCCTGCAAGCCAGCCCCACAGCCACCAGCACATAACCCCTCTTCCTTCTTGATTCTAGAGTCCCTAGCCAGTCTATCTCTCCACGTAATTTCTATGCCTCCATCTCTGGCATTGCTGCTTCTCAGGATAGGGTCCCACACTCTGCTCTTCTCCCTTGATGGTCCTAGGGTCCTCCACTCCAGGACTGCAAAATCAACCACTCCCCTCCTTTTGTTATAAAAACTTCTACCTTTACATTTGCAATTCACAATTAGTCCTGATAGCAATTATTCACTATTGAACCACAAGAGTCTTATCCCCATCTCCTTTCACCAGACCCATCTAGACAAGATGATAACTATTCAGTGGGGACTCTTTCTTTCCCCCCACACTCTTAACTAAGCTCCCTCTGGAAATCGCGTAAGCCAGTCACTTCGTGCCTTTGTTTTCCCCCTCCCCCCCATTTTTGGTAGCCAATATCTAAGTTGCCCATCCTTATCAACCCTATGTACAGAGAGGGTGGGAATGATCCTTGCTATAAAGATCCGTTCCCTCTTTTAAGCTACTACATCCATAAATATAGGTCAAGTTCATCAAATTGTAACGGATTACACTTTTTTTCCTCTTCTTTTTTCCTCAAGTTGAGTTCTGATCATCCAGCCATTGAAGCTAGGTCAAATGGGTACTGTCTGCAAGTATGGGCATTCTTGTGCATCTCCCCTCACTTCATATCAGCTGGACACTTCACTCTCCACTCTAGTCCTCTATGTCCCTGTCCATGGGCTCAGGAGTCTCCAGGTCTCACTATACTGCTGGCCAACCAGGTCATAATCCAGGTTGACAGGAGTCTATTGAACATGGTCAGACTTAGCTCACAGCTTCATTGCTATTCCCCCCCTACCCACCACTTCCCCTTACCAGTAGACCAACATGGCCACCAGCAAGATTACATGCCTGCTCATGCATTTCTTTTGAGTTTCAATCTTGAAAGGGAGTGTGCCCTGAGAGTAGTTGATTGCTTGCCTTGATGGCGCCCCGTCAAACAACTTGCTTTTTCTTGTAGTAGTCAGTCAGACTGCCATTATTGTTTTTTATTTTTC